AGTCGGGTGCAGGACACGCGTCGCTAGTGGCCACACGAGAGGTTAAGTCTCGTTTATCGGACGTTGTTGAAGGTAAAAGTTTCGAGGTCGGGAAGTCAATAGCGGGCGAAAGGTCACCTGTGCCAGGCTCCGAGGCGGGTGGCAAGGTAGCCGTCGTGGAGTCTGGAGTCGCTGAGGTGTCGCGTGCCGTTGATGTCACGGAAATTGTGCATGTGGCAGGCATCTGCGGTGAACCTTTGTACGTGGGCGCCAACGGAACGCTGCTCTCGGTGGTGTAGTCAGTGGAAGTGCGAGCGTCTTCTGCCTCGTCGTCGTGGTCGGGTGCAGGATTCAATGTTCCTGTGACCGGATCTAAAGTAGAGGGAGTCGTAGCCGGAGTGGTGAGGTCGTGGTCATTAGAGGGTTGCGTGCCGGTCGGTAGCACACGTTGCGACGCAGTGACAGCCCCAAAGTCGCGGGTCCCTGGAAGCGGTCGGTACGTGAGGCCGTTGCGGGCGAGCACCGCAGTGCAGAGGGCATCGTAAGGCTGCGGGCTGGTGCTTGAAGTGGCAGCGAGATGACGCAACTCTACTGGAAGGGCGTCATGAAGAATGGCGTGCATCAGCGGCTGGTCCGTGACGCCATTCAACGCAAGAACGGCATCGAGCTGCATGGACCATACTTTGGGGTAGGTTGATTGGAACGGCGACACTGGCGGGCAGAGTTGCGGGAACATGGCAGCGGGCCGCTCGGCGAAGGGCGTGTTCTCCGGATCACCAATGTATCGAGAGAGGAAGACGGGACGGCGGCCAACGTGGTCGTATCGTTCTCTCACCACTTTATTCCACGCCTGAAGCGGAGCCGCGTGGCTTTCCACGTCCGGCACACCAAGTGCGCTAGCTTGTTTTCTTCCTTGCGCAGCTCGAGCTCACATCAGCGGTGCGAGAGGCGCGGCGCGGTGATTGAGAAATGATGATGATGATCATGCACTACACACTGTAATGCCATTCGGTCTCTGTAACGCGCCCGCCACCTTTGAACACATGATGGACGGCATCTTACGCGGCTTGAAGTGGCACTTGCCTCTGCTATTTGGATGATATTGTCGTATTTGCGCCAGATTTCCCGACCCATCTACAACGGTTGCATCAAGTTTTGACCTGTGTCCGAAATGCCAGTCTCCAGCTTAACTTGAAAAAGTGCCTATTATCTGCTAGAAAATTAACTATAATAGGCCACGTCGTCTCCAAAGAAGGCATTCTTCCCAATCCTGCCAAACTTTGAGCCGTATCCGAGTTCCTGAAGCCTACTAACCTGAAAGCACTGCGCACCTTCATTGGGCTATGCTCCTATTTTCGGCGCTTCATTCGTAATTTTGCTACTGTCATCGCACCTCTCAATACATTCCTCCAAGGCGACAACGAACTTTCTACCTGGTCAGAAGCTTATGACGATGCGTTTACGGCACTTCGACACCTGCTTACGTCTCCGCCAATATCACGTCACTTCGCCCCGAGCGCACGCACAGAAATTCACACTGATGCTAGTGGTGTCGGCCTTGGTGCTGTGCTCACACAACGTGACGATGCCAACGCCGAATACGTGGTTGCATATGCCCGTCGTGCACTCACAAAACCCTAGACAAATTACACCGTAACCGAAAAAGAGTTCCTGGCTATCATATGGGCTCTACAGAAGTTTCGCCCCTATCTTTACGGTCGCCCTTTTAACGTCGTAACAGACCACTCTGTTGGTTGTCAAAACTCAAGAACCCGTCAGGTCACCTTGCTCGGTGGGCCCTCCGACTCCAGGAATATGACATCCGGGTCGTATGTCGTTCTGGCCAACAACACTGATGCTGACGCCCTGTCACGCTTCCCACTCATTTCAGACGCCAGTGCATCTAGTCACAATCACGATATTTCACCATTCGACATCTTGGACATGGCCTAAGCGCAACGAAATAACCCTTGGATCGCCACAATTCTAAACTTTTTGTCAAGCCCCCTGACCACCCCAGCTCCACGAGTGCTACGTCGCCAAGTGCAGCTATCCGTGATGGTCTTTTATACCACTGTAACTACCACAACGATGGCCCCACATGGTTATTGGCCATGCGCCGCCATCTTCGTCGCGATCTCTGCTCCGCTTCCCACAATGATTCTCAGTGTAGCCACGGTGGCGTGTTCAAGACGTACACGCTCCTTTGCCTACGCTATTATTGGCACGGAATGTACAACTTCGTCTGCAAATACGTCCGCTCATGCCTCGCCTGTCAACGACGCAAACCAGTCTCGCACCTCTCCACAGCACCTCTCCAGCCGCTTCCCTGCCCAGCCCACCCATTTGATCACGTCGGCGTTGACTTGTACGGGCGTCTCCCATGCACTGGTGCTGGCAATCGCTGGATTGTCGTCGCCATGGATCACTTGACAAGCTACGCTGAAACCGCTGCATTACCCGCCGCAACAGCCAAGGACGTTTCCTCGTTCATTCTACACAGCTTTGTTCTCCACCATGGCGCCCCTCGGGAACTGCTCAGTGATTGCGGCCGTGTATTTTTCTCAGACGTGTTGCAATCACTGCTATCCGAATGCATAATTATTCACCGTACCACTACCGCATATCACCCACAGACAAACAGATTAACCGAACTCTGGGGGACATGTTGTCGATGTACGTTGCGTCAGACCACTGAAATTGGGATCTTGTTCTTCTATTTGTCCCATTCACCTACAACACCGCCTGCCAAGCCACCGCCGGATTTTCACCATTCTTCTTGCTATACGGCCGTGAACCCACTAGCACCATTGATACGATTCTGCCTTATCATCCAGACGTTGACGACTACCAGCCTGTGTCTGAGGTGACTCACCACCCCGAAAAATGCCGACAACTGGCCCGTTCTTTCACCTACGACCAACAGTGTCGCCAAAAACAGCGTCACGGCTTCGACATCCCTCCTGACACGTTCACCGTCGACTCTCTCGGGTGGCATTGGGTCCCGCCAGTTGCTGCTCCCAGCCTTTCGTCTAAGCTTCTTCCGAAGTATCGCGGACCCTACCGCGTGGTTGCGCAGACCTCTCCTGTTAATTATGTGGTCGAACCCGTTACTCTATTTTCTGACCTTCGTCGTCAGGGGCGAGAAACAGTCCAGATTAACCGTCTCAAGCCGTATTATGACCCTCTGACCGCTCTCTAGGGTGCCAGGATGGCTACCTCACGATACCGGGGGTTATTGTGAGGAAGAATATGGACACATGCGGAAGCGCATTGCCATCGCCTGGCTCGCTTGGCTGTTCGCTCCCTGGCTATGCTTTGCCTGCTGCTGCTGCAATCTTCTTCTTCTCGGTCACTGTGTACCTCAATAAACCCTCGTAACAATATATATATATATATAGATTGAATACATGATCAGGATGCGAGTAAGCGGCAACATGTTTCACATTTTTCCGTTTTTCTTGGTCGCCTCCGCTTGCGGCGCGTCTTACCTATACCCAGTAACAATGCCAGAATTACCCGCTCGTTTCCGGCGGCTCTCCGTCTCTCTTTTCTAGTTCCTCTCCTTCTTCTGCTTCTTGTTGTCTGTTGCTACCTCGTTCGCCCGTTTGTCTCGTTTTTTTTTTTTTTGATCGTTTTGGAGAGTCTTCAAACTGTGAGGGTGACCCTCTGCTACGAGAACTTGTACCATTTCACTTAGATCCTCCGAAGAAGGCTGGTCCACCAGCCGAAAGTGTTAGGATTAAATAATTATTTTATTGCTTTGTTTCCTATACTGCACTATTCTCGAAGTTTGTGTGTGTGTGTGTGTGTGTGTGTGTGTGTGTGTGTGTGTGTGTGTGTGTGTGTGTGTGTGTGTGTGTGTGTGTGTGTGTGTGTGTGTGTGTGTGTGTGTGTGTGTGTGTGATAGCTGTAATGGTGTACTTCACCTTTGCATGCAAAGATAAGTGATGCAAATTAATTTGTATCTCACCTTTGCAGCATGCCAGCATTCTAGTGTTGTGTTGTAGTCTTCGTTCTGCTCTGTAGATGTGTTCTTGCGTATGTCAATTGGTTTCCTCTTACAGTTGCTCAAAACCAGATTTGTTGTTTCACAGATTTATAATATTGGTAACGTTTTTTGTGGTGACCGCCTTTCAGTTAGCAAAACGAGCTATCTGTGGCCAACTACGGGTATTACCTCTAACAAGGGAGGGTCATCTTTGTATTTTTTTGGTGATGGTGCAAGTATTCTGCCTTTGTGCCATTCTTAGTAGGCTTCTTAAATTTAGTGCAGAAGTTGCTGCGGCCAGCACCCACTGTCCAGAGCCACATTACTTACTGCTCTTCACCTTTTGTCAAAGAACATAATTTTGCACATTATGTTCTGGAGTTTCACATTCAAAAACTATAACGAAATATGTGCCATGATAAAGGGACTTATATTAACTTTTACCCCCTGGGTAGTGCGGTATGCTTTACAACAAAAGCACGTGGGCACAATGGCACTATGCCTGTTCGCTGCAATGGTGTCACTTGGCTGCAAAGCTGGAGTTCGTGGGTGCGATCCTTGCAGTGGCAGTCCCATTCGGATGGAGGTAAAATGCTAAAGGCACATGTGCGATATCTCTGCACGTTAAACACCACCAGGTGGTAAAAATTGCCAGAACCGTCCACTATGGCACCCTCATAATCATATCATGATGTATGTATAATATTATTGTAGTTGTTGTTATGTCTCCATCAAAATGTGGCTCCACCAGCTCTGGCTTCATTCCGCCATCTGATTCTCAGTATCAGATCGCCTTAGCTGTCTGAGCCAGTGCAGCATGGGGGAATATGTTGTTGTGTAGAGAGCTTCACTTTCCGAATGTGTACGATTGACGGCAAGCTTGGATTTTGTTTTTATCAGTTATTTTCGATAAATTTTGCTTTCTCTGGCAGTTTTCCTGTGGATGGCATGCATGTAGCAGGAAAATAGCATTTTATTGAGGCATTTGCTTTCTTTGTATTTGCTTAAAGGAAACCTCCTAATTTAACAGGTCACCACCTCTAAGGAAACGTGAAGACGTTGGGGCGCCAATTGATGACATGTAATGGGCACGACCCTACTGAATATGACATTCCCCAGGGGCGTGTCATGTACTGTTTTGTTATATCACAGCTTCTTTATCTTTAGGTTGTCGATACATATTTCTTCAATATTCAATTCCAGCTTACACGTAACTTAAACATTTATGTATGCAACATCTAGTCACTGTGCGCAATGTACGTGTTTTTTGTGCTATGTGCCTAAATAAAAAGATGTGTATGCAATACACTTGACTCTGTGTTTCTCTCGCACAAGCTGACATTTAGCATTATATGTTGCCATCTGTCAAATTTCATTTAATGAGAGTGTTGCGATTTCGGAAGGGTCAAATCACGCAGTTTATCTATGCTTTGAGGTGCTATTTTGACTAGTTCTTTTCAAAAATGCACTTTGCTAAAGAATTGTGTGTGCATTAGTCTAATCTCATTAATTTCAGTGAGTGTCCAGAAGAACTAATTAATTTAGCATCTGAAAGCACAGGAAAACTTATTCATGCCTTGAACTTCTGACATTTCAACTTCAAAGAGTAAAAAAAAAAAGACTATAGAAGACTTGTTTTAGAAGACACCCGCAATAAAAAGACATCCCTTAATCTCCCTCTTATGTACACAGCGTGTCTTTCGGGATTTGTTTGGTACTTGCAAGGTATAACCCTGGGTTCAGGAAAGTGCGGCCAAATCGACCTGCAAGAGATGTCCGCCGCTGCAGTTTTGGAATTGCAGTGGATATCCGATTTCCAGTAAAGTCGTCCTGTGGACGTCCTTAGCATATCATTGTTGTCACTGGGTATGCACCGACTTTCACACAACCTCAAGAAGGTTGCAAACAGTCATGGCGTGCCTATTGTTTCCACACCACAGAAGCTATCTCAGCTTTGCCCACATATTTATTTATTTATTTATTTATTTATTTTCAATACTGCCAGTCTCATTCCGAGACCATAGCAGGTGGGCGTACAGATTGTACATGCAGGTGGTACATTAACAGAAATGTAGTGAAATGACAGTCATCACAAAGTACAAGCGCGAAAAATATACAAATTGTTTACATCTGCAAAGACAAAGAAACCATCACCAAAAAGAACACAAATTTTGCATGAAGTGCAGTGGTACACAGGCAAACAAATAGCTAACTTCCAAACACTCCAGTTGACACTTGTACACTCCACTAATACGCTTTCACTGGTGGCGCAATGCTTCTGGTAATGCGAGTATTGCCGCATTAAGAGAACATATTTTCTAATTTTAGTGCAAAGTCGGATACCGATTTCGCACTAGTTATGGAGGAATCCAAACAGTTCCATTCCCTTATGGCAAGTGGAAAAAAGGAGTGTTTGAACGTGTCATTGCGGTAAGAGTACTCTTTCAGTGTGTATGAACATATAATAAATGATGGGAACAAAAAAAGTGGCTGGTGGCGAGAAGCATGCAAACTCGTACACAAAATGTGCCAAAATGTGTCTACGAATTTCCGCTATCCTGCGGACAGACGTATGTCGGCCAGATGGGAAAGTGCGTGAATAAGCGTGCGTGGGAACACAAGCCGTCACTAAAAGGTAGAGATGGGGCTCATTCGCCACGCCACTGCAATTCACACACGTGTGAGCCATATCTGAATGCGATTCAGACTCGGGGGTAAAGTAGGGCGAGCGACGCTTATCGTGTGCACTAGCGACGCCTATTTGTTCCCTGCGCAAGCAGCACGGGTCGTGATTAAGATGTTATCTGAGCGATACGGGCCCTTCTTTTTGCGCATATCTATATGTATTGCATTGCACTATAAGCATTATTTGTTCGATGAGTGCCTTGCTCCCATGCCTTTGCATATATATTGCACTGCGGTAATCTTGCGATAAACAGTCGAAAGTTTGCTCTCCCCGTGAACCCTTCCCTCGTTATTTCTTCGTGCGACATCTTTGGCTTCTAACTGAATAGAGGTGGAAAGGTTGCTTTATTCATTGGCTGTTCTTAGGATGAAGGAGCTGAAATGTGATCGAACACCAAATTTGAGTAAATGGTGACAAGTGGTGATGGTGTGTTGAACATGACAAGGTCAGCATATGGGATTTCAGAAAAGCGTTTGATTTGGTTCCCCGTAATTTATTATTGCAGGAAATGACCCAATACAAAATTAACCCGGAGGTTATTAACTGGATAGCAGAATACTTAGATTCCGGGCAGCAGTACGTCGTCGTGAACGGCGAACAGTCATCCACTGCCAATGTGACGTCCGGGGTCCCTCAGGGGTCAGTACTGGGCCCATTATTGTTTTTAATGTATATTAATGACATCACCCTGGACGTACAATCGTCGATGAGAATGTTTGCAGATGACTGCATCGTTTATAGAGCAATAAACTGCGAAAGTGATCGGGGCGCAGTTCAAGACGACTTGGACAAGATAAATGCATGGTGTAAAGAATGGCAAATGCAACTTAATTTGGAGAAGACAATGTGTATGACGTTTTCTAGAAAGAAGGATAAAGCTTCGCCTTCGTATACTATAAACAAGAAGGTCTTAAAAATAGTCTCTAATTACAGGTATTTGGGCGTATTTTTCACGCCAACTCTGTGTTGGCACCATCATGTTGATTATGCGACAGCTAAGGCTTGTAGATCGCTGTGGTTCCTGTGGCGAAACACGCGTGAGTTTCCCCAGTCCACGCGGGAATTACTATACAAATCATGCGTGCGGTCGATACTTGATTACGCGAGCAGCGTATGGGACCCGCCCACTGCCCTCGATAAAGATAAATTGGAAAAAGTGCAAAACATGGGCGCCCGTTATGTCCTGGGAAACAAGAGCCACAACTTCAGCATGACGCGCTGCAAGCAAGCTTTAGGATGGGAACAGTTAATCACACGCCGGGCTAAGCAGCGTCTCAAGCTTTTCCATGATGTATACTTATCTCGAACTTGTATTCCACGTGACAGCTACATCTTTCCACCTCATTACGTGTCTGGACGAGTCGATCACATTTACAAAGTGCGGGAGTACCGATGTAAGACAGCAGCGTTCAGTAATTCTTTTTTCCCTAAAACGGTTTCCCAGTGGAATCGATTACCTTCAGTGATCATTGTCGCTGCTGGTGGTCATTCATTTTTCCCTTTGTTAGAGTCAAGTGAATTGTTCAGTTGATGACGGGTGTTTTGTTGTGCGGTATACATATTGTATTTGTTTTCGTCTTACTGTACGTTACCCGCTGGCATTTTTCGTACATTTTTGTCAATCTCCGTTACGTTATGTATTCAGTGTACTTCCTACTATCTGGTTAGGCTGAACTGTACTTGCCGCCAATTGAGCTTGTGTTCTGTCTTGTAATCATGTTGTATTCCCCCCACTGTAATGTCTTATGGCGCTGTGGGTATCAAATAAACAAATAAATTAAAAAATAGTAACAATTGGTTGGGAATTGGTTGATTGTAATAGAGTCTGTGGATATGACAGAAGAGGAGAACTTTTTGCGAGGCATATAAGTAATATAATTGAGGGATTTGTTTCACACATGATATACTTAAAGAACTCCTGACCGCAAAAGTTTTGTTTGTGACCTTTTTTTTTGTAATTTGTAACTTTGGGTCTGGTAATGCCGAAATTATATCGTGAACACTCTAACACGTTGCATATTTAATGCTGTTAATTCAGAACGAATTTATGTCAGTTTAAAACGTTTGTCTAAATAACATAAGAAACTATAGTAGCTGCGTGCACTCGAGCTTCGGTGATGCTGAACCCACCGTTGTCAAATAGGGGGACCTGCAGGCGGTGAAGAATGAAATGATGTGGATGCTTTGAGCGCGTCCCCGATCAGAAAAAAAAAGAAGAGCATTTCTGGCGTAAGCAGCCAGAACCACCTTTAGAGCGAGAGGGGTGACGAACAATAGTCTTCGCTGGGGGCCAGTCGGTGCGCGCCCCGTAAATGTTCTCTGGCGTTGCCAATGCTTGCTTGACCTCTGCAACATCATGCGGGGGGGGGGGGGGGGGGGCTGTTTACGTCAAACCACAGAAAATGTAGACTGGACCTGAATACTCGGATGAACACTCACCCTTACTGCGGGGAACAGCGCAAAAAACTGGACCGAGAAAGAATCGAAGATACGACGCAAGTACTCACCCTTACTTTAAAATCAAATTAAAATATTTTATAGGCAATGCTCATCTCTAATAATCAGTGAGAAGTGCCCCCGCATGCAGGACTTTCAAACAGCACAAGCATGTCGAGTTTACAAATTCGGTGTTATGTGTCTTCAAGCAATGAGTTAAGTTAAAAATTGCGTGGCTCAGTTTCATGCTCACTATACAGAATGTCATTCGGGTCTCAAATAATGCATGCATATTCAAGTTCGAAACCTCACCAGAATTTTATAAAGTTGGAGCTTATACAGATGGCTACAAAAAAAGAAGTTATGGCACAGAAAGCCAAGCACTCGATTGGCATTGCAGCATATATGACATGCCTGTTCCAGAACCGTTCATTAGTTATGCATGTGAACAGTGAGAAACTTGTTAGGAGGGAACCAAAGACAGTGGCCAACTGTCCAAAGTAATTATAGTAAGAGAAAGTAGTGCTTTGGTGACATGGCATTCAAAGTGGAAGACTTTGCACTTGTCATTGTCAAGCGTTATGCTGTCAGCAGCACCAAGAACAGATAGTAATTAAACTGAACTTGTAGAGCATGATCACAACCATTAATAATAAAGCGACAAATTAACAGCCATCAGCAAAAAGTTTAATATAGCTGGATGTTACATAATGATAGTAAGTAATATAAGTGGTGCAAATAGAAAAATCACATTTTCACCGCAAGGGCAAGACAACGAATGCGATAACAACCAGTTGCAATGCTGTACGAAGCAAAGGCTGGAAGCCAACTCTTCGATCTGATCTTGTGTAACTCCACAAAATGCCGGTGTAAAATAATGCAGCCGCTCCAGGGAGAGCTGCCGTTTTCACACAGTCTCTTCGAGTAGGGTATACAAGCCGTGTGCTGATGCCTGGCGAGATAGCGTGAGCGCGCCAGCAGTCGCGACCACATGATCACAGTTGCTGCTAAAGCAACCCACTCTCTTTTCATGCTCTTTGAAGACGGGCCAGCCGGTTCCTTTCTGCTTGAGTAGCAATCGACAGCAGGCTCCGCCACGGCGTGACGTCATCCCGTGCACCCTCCTTTCAACATTACATCTCTGCTGCAGCCGCATTCGACGCCTCTGCCCGCGTGCCTTTACCCGCAGGTGGACCACTTCATGCCCGGGGGGGATATTATCGATTCGGACTTCATACGGAACATGAGTGACGTCGATAGCGAAAACCCGTGAAGAGAGCCCATATTGCGATGATGCCGTTGCCGTGAAATTAACGCAGGCAGCAGTCGGCGCGCGTCCAAGATGAAAACCTTTTATATGGCCAAACTTGTGGCTGGGAAGCGGAAATTCATACTACAACAAGAAATGCACGCTACCCCAGCAAACAGAGCATCGGTCGTCGATAAACTCGTTCGTGGCAAAGTGCCTCAGAATTTATTAATGTGGCATCGAACATTCGAGTGTTATCGTTGCTGGTTGCGTTTGTTAGAGAATAGACTCAGCTATTTCATTTGCGTGCTCAAGCCTAACAGATGATCCCAAAGTAATGCGGAATACTCAGACAGTCTGGTTCGATTTACGCAAGACAGTATCTGATAAATGAGTATGTGGCACTTCCTCCACATCCTCCTCACATGTCCCACCTTCCCACATCCCCCACCTCCGGCTGTGGCAGTGTCATACTGGGAGACCATCATGACCAGCACTTCTGCGTTCGATCAGCGCCGGATCATCTCGTGCGCCATGAAGAGGATCGCACTTCAAGGGCTTTCCTTTGCTTTGTAAGGGTGCCTCCTCACTGCGAGGGTGCACCCACGTGCCATGAGGGGGCTCGGCCCCCACGCTACACAGTGGCAATAAATGTTTCTACCACCACCTATGTGGCAATATAATTGCTATTGCAAAGTAGTAGTGGAGCGATGATGATGATATAGATAGCGTCGCGAAGTATGTGCGAGGCTGCTGGGGTCGAGAAACAATATATTAGGCGCTCTAACGAAAGCATAAGACCAACCTAGCTGACACGACACAGCTTTACATTTGCTAACATCATCATGCAAAATGAAAACAGCGTGTAAAGCTGGATCAAAAGTTCTGACAAAACTTTTAAAAAGCAGTCAATTCATTGGGTGGCATCAATGTGGTGGAAAAGATTACCCGCAAAAAATAAGAAAAAAGCTGCATTTCAAAGAGAGCAGTATGCACATTGACTGATTGCAAAAAGTAGTTCTTAATTCTCAGAAATTTTACATGATACAGTTCTGTTCAGGCAATGTCACAGAAAGTCCGACAGAGACGTGCTTAAAAACACACACACACACACACACGCACACACACGCACACACACACACACACACACACACACACACACACACACACACACACACACACACACACGCACGCACACACACACACACACACACACACACACACACACACACACAGTCGGAACCAGATAAGGGTCTTAACTTCAATTTCAAACATTAAACACCTGCACAGTCGAACCTCTTTTTGAAAACATCATTTTGTACCCGGCGGTACTGGTAATCGAACACAGTACATCCCACAGAGGAGGCTGACGCTCAAACTTTACTTTGTTTACAATATGGTTAGCTTAATTTTCGCGCCGCACGAAAGACCAGTCAGAAACTCCGGCTGAAACGTCTTCTACGCAGCTACGGATGTGCGTCTCTCCGCTGCGCGCTTCCGCTCTCCCGACTGCACTTTTTGGCGATGGCGTAGGTGCAATGGACGTTCGCTGGCTGTTGCTCAGTCGCTTGGGAGTTTGCGGTGCCTGTAGAATGGTCTGATATTTACGGTTCAGGTGTGATCTTCCAGCAAAAAGTGATGGATCTGGTGAAGCGGGTTCTCACATTCCTCACTTTCTTTGTTTGCTGCGGTTGTTTAGCGTTCCTGACCGTGTCGCTTGCAACTCAAGATTGGATCAATGCGAAGCCAGTCATGTTAGTTTATGTGAACAATACCTCAGTACAGCAAGCTGAAAATGAAGGGAAATTCAAAGGAGAAGTGTATTTTGGACTGTTTCATGGCAAGAAGACGCTCAATTACGGGCTGGGCCCCAGGCACTCAACTTTCAGCAGTATGTATGTTTTGACAGTTGCTAAGCCTATTTCCTCATTTAGTCAACTTTTAGAACATTATGAAAGTTCTTCAAATGATATTTGCTTAGCCCCTTAGGCGTGGTGTGTAGCCCTTTAGCTCTTTTTTAACTGGTGTGTCGTTCTGTGGAATGACGCGTGTGTGTGCGTGTTTTTTTTTTTTTTTATTGTACAGTTAAAGAAGAACTGCAGAAGAATCCGACACTGATGATCTTCGGCCTGTGGCTCGTGACCGTGCTTGGCATTTCCTTGGCTGTTGTGTTCGGGCTTGTGAGCTGCATATTCGCGATCGTCAACTCTGTGATGACGCCCGTAGAAGCAATCACGGGAAGGGCCGGCCTGTACCTGTGGAATATTGTCGGAGGTTGGTGCCATGACGGGTCATTTCTTTTTTTTTTTAAGGAAGTGTTTTTGCATTAACTGAGATCGTGCCCAGCGTGTTGGAAAAAAAATAAATAAATACAGCCTATTGACACTCCCACTGTTTGATTTTGGTGGCGCAGAGGGCTGGCTGATGCACCGTGGACCGCTGCTCGGTGTTGCGGTGACGTTAGTTCGAATCGTGCATTTTCTTTTTTTTTTTATTCTGAAATATAATTTTAACATTGCAGCTCCTTCGAGTCGAGCCGTAATTTTCTTTTGAACATTATCTGCCGGGATGCGAACACGCTGGACATGGCTTTTTCTTTCACTCTGCCTTTCCGTTTAAATGGAAGCAAAAAAAAGTGCTCTCTTGTGATCAGAACTATGTAGTGTTGACACTGGTTATTCTGTTAGGAAACCGTTGAAAGCGAACAGTTGTCAACATAACCGGTCGCTTTCAATGTAGCACATCACTGGACGTCGCAAGAAAGCTGCTGCGGCTAATCATGTCTTGTGGGTGCAACAAGTGGTTCTGGTCTTTTTTTTTTTTAATAGTGCGATGGTTAAAGTAGTGTGGATCTTTAGTACCAGTGGCTATGGCCTGAGGCCACGGGTCCGTCCCGAGTTTATTTTACGATTGTGAGGTAGCATCAGAGGTACAGTATTATAATGCCGATTGCTTTTGTGTTCCGAATTTCATGTGTTGTACCCTAACAGTGGTATCTTCCAGATTATGGATATTCAATGCAAAAAGAATTTCATTGGGTCTCTATCTTCTGACATGCAGTGGTTAGAGTGTAGCCACTGTGGCAAGGAGTTTAATTTGCGACACTGTGCTCAACCGGCAAGTGCTATATTCACTTAGCAGCCATACCCATAGGTAGTCGCCCATATTTACCAGTACAAATGATGCTCCACTTGTACATGTTTTCACATGTGAAACTCCCTCATGCAGTGCCCTTTCTAAGGCATGCGAGGTACTATAAACATGAGGAGATTGCCTGAAAAGCCACATTTATATTCTGTTCTTCAACATCCAATTCAGCCTTTTTGTGTATTGTAGACTTGCACGGAGAGTTGAGTTTGTTTCTTTTTACTATGTAATGTGATGGGGGTGCATAGTGTACAAAAACAAAGAACATACTGGTTACGTTGTTGGACAGAGTAAGCGATTGAGTTAGCTGAAAAGCGTCTGCCCTATCTTTGGTTCCTCTGTTCAACAACCCAACTGGCATGGTGCATAAGCAAGTCCAACAACCAATGGTCTGAAGAGTAGGACATTGTTTTCTAGAGTCCATTAGAACAGGAGAATCATGGCAATGGCAAAAATTGCATTTTATACCCAGTGTCACATGGCCTATTCATATGCATGTGTGCAACAGAATAGTTGAGAAGTGGGCTAGTTGGTGTAGATTCATTATGGCAACTTGGCAGCACAAACAAACGAGACAAAGTAAGAAGGTACAGAAACAAACGCAGACTGAAACTTGGGTTAAATTGTAGCAGAAATATATATACAAGAGGAAATGAGGGGGGATCAACATCAGGTGTAGTCAAGGAATGTAATCTCACAATCTAAAATTGATACAGAGGGTGAAGTGACACAAACATCAGTGTTGTTCTTTATAAAAAAAGGCTTCAGCCATCTCCCTAGTCCTCGCCTCATGATGGGCGTACAAAACAAAGGTGCGTGGAAATTCTGGTGCGCAACCACACTTTGCGCAATGTGCAGAATTGCCTGCAAATTATGCAAGGCTACATCCGCCGGCTACCTACAACATCCTATGACAAGTGCAAACCAAGTGCAGGCTTCAGCGCGTTGCAGTGCTCACGCAAGCGCACATTCAGGCAGCGCCCAGTCTGCCCAATATATATCCTACTGCAAGACAATGGAATGCAACAAACCACGTTCATTCAATAGTTAATAAAACAATAGACATGTGCACGGAATCTCGCGTTGGACCACCGAATGTGTGCTGTGATGGGTTTATTGGTTACTACAGTCGAAGTGCTATTTACACATAAGCTGCTTCTGAGGCTTCACTAAGTTCATATCTAAGGCTGTTATTCAATGTTATTTCTAAGGCTGTTATTCAATGGTTTTCAAGACTTGGCTGAAAAGAAATTTTTGTTGGCCGAGTTGGTGTAAGTTTATGGAATTTATGGCATGACGATAGACCAAAACGCAAAAGAGGACATCGTACAGAGTGCCGCTAAAAACCGATTTATTTAGCAGAAATACGCATACATATATAGCTTTGTCAACGCATGCACAGAGGACATTTTTCACATCAATGGTGGACGAATAACTTTTTCTCGCACTTATACAACGCTACAGATGCGCCACTAATGCACATGTCTGGACTTGGTTGGAAGGAACAGGAGAAAAAGCAATGGCAGGGATGTCAACCGGCTGAAAAAAGCCGGTATGCTACGCTACATTGGCGAAAGACATCGTGGGAGATCGAAAGTTTCAAGTGTGAAGAAAAAAAAGATGTAAGAGAGAGGAGGAAACATATTTGCACCTATGACTGTCACAGTCTGTCAGTCTTTCGTGGTGTATGGCATTACTGTTAGCCTATTACCACCTGTGCAAGTATGTTATCTTCAAAATTTTCTGCGTTTTATGGTGAAGCAAACATAACTTCCAATGCCAAAGATTTTGGGGATTCCTGTGAAGGGACAGACAATCCATAGTTGTATGCCTAGCAGTTTAAAGGGACACTAGAGGCAACTATTGAGTTGATGTTGATTGTTGAAATAGCAGTCCAGAAACCTCGTAGTGTTACTTTTGTGCCAAGGAAGGGCTTATTTTGAAATAAAATCTCATAGTGGCCTGCATAGGGTTAGTGCATTTAAAATTACCCGCCTCAAAAAGCCGACCGACTTGCATCACTGTTGCCGTGCACAACATTGCCCAGCTTTACTGCACGGTCGCCGACACTAGTAGACAGAACGACAGCAGCGGGAGCCACAGCAGCAACAACGGCAACAGCGGCCATTGATCGATTTGCCGCCATTGGCGTCGAGATTACAGACGCGTTTCGGTTCAACTGCGCCCAACTAGATGGCACGACCTGTCCAGCGTAACCGTGCAAAAATTCAATTTTTGAACCACTCGCGCCATTCCCCATAGTAACGCCTGGTGGTTCTTTTTTCATGAATCAAACAGAAACTAACAGGCAGCATTTTATTGCGCCTCTTTATGCACGAAAGGTTCTTTATTTAGTGCAGCTAGATCGATTACTAGTGATTAATTGTAGGCGATCTGGCTGATGTCATCAGGATCATTTTGAAAATGTCCTACTGCGGTGCATGTATTCTTGTGCATTTACCGTAATTCTTTGGTTAGTAGGCCACTGCTGTTGATAATATTGTCATTTTAAATGTTATCATACATTGAGGTTTCACTCTGAAATAAATTGTTATTTGACTTAAGTGTCTTTTTAAGGCCCCTTTGTAATCATTTTAACTATAATATATGGGCTTATGTGTGCTCTCTGCAAAAGTTAAAAAAAAACTGGGGTCTGTAACTCGCATCAGCTAGTGGGCCACTCACAAAATTTAATCCGTCAGTGGGCTGGTGTAGTGCAGTTGGAGGGAATGAGAATTTGAAAAAAAAAAATGTCAGCTAACATTGCTGTTTAAAAGAACTTGTCCATTTCTCATGTATGCTTCACTTTTAAAGGGATTTGATGTCATATTTTGAGTAACCTATCAATAATGACCTCCATAATGACTGAAATTTTGATGCCGATTCTGAAATATGAGTTTTGTTCCACAATTGTTTTAACCCATGAAGACTGGATGAGGTGTTCATGAAGAAAAATGCTTTAGGCCATTCACAACTGTGTCTGCCGTGGTGGAAATGTGGTTATGTTCGGTTAAGTTCGATCCCAGCTGTGGCGGTCACATGTTACAATCATGAGCAGCAAGAGTCAAGTTTAGTGGCTGGGTGTGCAAACAAAAGTACCGTACTTAAATGTAAAGCAAGGTGCCCCCCCCCCCCCCCCCCCCAATTTTTGCGACCTAAAGTTGACCCTAGCGTTATAATCGAATGCTGGAATAACTATTTTGTTTTCTGGATGCACTGAAAATTTACACCTTGCATTACACTTGTGGTCACTTTCATCATCATCATCGTCAGCCTGACTACGTCCACTGCAGGACAAGGCTTCTCCCATGTTCTGCCAGTCACCTCGGTCCTGTGCTTGCAGCTGCCAATTTATACCCGCAAACTTCTTAATCTCATCTGTCCACCTAACCTTCTGTCTCCCCCTAACTCGCTTGCCTTCTCTGGGAATCCAGTTAGTTACATTTAATGACCAGCGGTTATCCTGTCTACACGCTACATGCCCGGCCCATGTCCATTTCCTCTTCTTGATTTCAAATATGATATCTTTAACCCCCGTTTGTTTCCTAATTCACTCTGCTCTCCTTAAGGTTACACCTACCATTTTTCTTTCCATTGCTCGCTGCGTCGTCCTCAATTTAAGCTGAACCCTTTTTGTCAGTGTCCAGGTTTTTGCTCCATAGCTAAGTACCGGCAAGATGCAGCTGTTATATACCTTCCTCTTGAGGGATAGTGGCAATCTACCTGTTATGATTTGAGAGTGCTTGCCAAATGTGCTCTACCCCATTCTTATTCTTCTTGTTACTTCAATCTTGTGGTTCGGCTCCGCGGTTATTACCTGCCCTAAGTAGACATAGTCTTTTACAACTTCAAGTGCACTATTACCTATCTCGAAGCGCTGCTCTCTTCCAAGGTTGTTGTACATTACTTTCGTTTTCTGCAGATTAATTTTAAGACCCACCTTGCTGCTCTCCTCCGTAATCATGAGTTGCAATTTGTCCCCTTAGCTACTCAGCAATGCAATGTCATTGGCGAAGCGCAGGTTACTAAGGTACTCTCCATTAACTCTTATCCCTAACTGTTCCCATTCTACGCTTCTGAAAACCTCCTGTAAGCACGCGGTAAATAGCATTGGGGAGGTTGTGTCC